ATATATATATGTGTATGTTTGTACGTATGTATGTATGTGTGTACGTACGTACGTATGTATGTAGGTAGGTATGTATGTATGTAGGTATGTATGTATGTATGTATTTACGTATGTATGTATGTATGTATGTATGTATGTGTGTGTGTGTGTGTGTGTGTAAAGATCTCGATCCTCATTATTTTTTGTTTTGCAGCGTGGCCACTTCCCACGCAATAAAACAGAAACTGAAGAAAGTCCTCCTCCACAACCCAGACGATCTGAACGATTGGGCACATCGACACGGTTACATCGCCAGGATGCTTGGATCCGCAAAAAATATATAGAGGGTAAAATGAATTGAGAGAAAAATAGTCTTGGATGTTTTGATCGCACAAGATGTCAACACCATGCATCGTAAGATGTCAATACAGTTACTCATACAAGACTTGACAGTCGGCACTCGGGTCATGCCGTATTCTATCTACCGTACACTCTCTTATGTGAGCTAAGCTACAAGCTATTGGCCAATTATATCTACAAAGGGGGAAGCTTTAGAGTTTGAAATAAATTATTGATGCATTTGAAAGGAAAGTATGTGAATTTAATTGGTTGTTTACCAGGCGAAGTTTACTCAAGCACACATTCCATATATGGTGCTGTTAGTCGGTGATACTACGGCGTCAGCAGGTGCATTAGGTTGCACGTAGTGTCGACTACATCGTCCGCTCGATATGGCGAACTCATTGGCAACACTCAATGCAGCGTGATGATGTAGGATCGCTGCAATGTCGTTGACTCGAACATGGATGTCAGCCTTTAGGATCAGGCCATTAACACCTTCCATGGTTTGCAGTCGTGAATCGAGAGTTCTAGGACCCACGCAAAAAAAAAATAGTCAAACAGTACAGGTTGGAAACACCTATATCTGAACTTGCAGCCACTTAGTCCAGGCTACCAACGCTTTTTCGAATAGAAGTTAGCTGCTGTTTCCGGGAAAGTCACACCTCGATACTGGTAGGCAACAATGCTTAGCACTCGGGCGACACCTGCATTGCCTGGCACAGCAGAGTGTACAGTGTGCGTTGCGTCCCTGAGAGTCGGTCTGGACCAACGAGATGTAGCCAGCCGCGACATTCGTAGACAATTTGTTCGCATTAAAGGACTATCGGCAATGTCACGGGCGTTTTGAACCAGTACCTAAATATCATGCACAGGACCATTGTCGACCTCGGAACTGTCACCGACCCCCGCCTACGCTTTGGTGTGAGCGCTTGCTTAGTTCTAGCCAGTTTGTAGCAGCACAAAAGGGTTTTTAATCCCAGCGAAGTGATGTGGTCTGCTTCCTGGTTGCATTATACTCTATTTGTCATAAAGGTAGCTGCTAGACGGCTTCTACCACAATCTCGTGCCTCACCGCTTGACTGCGCCCACATGTGAGGATGCCTGACAGGCTCTCTCCAGGTCGTGTGTAAACCCATCGATCTGTCTGGTGATGCCGCCGTATTGTGACAACAGATTGCGCATGGCGTCTGCGTGTGCGGCTTGTTCCATTGCGGCCTTGTCTTTGAGGATGTCTATCTTGGCTTGTCGGCTACCCACCAGTGCCTGTAGCAGTGCCAGAATGGAGAACATGTGTCAACCAATATAAAACGAGCATTGAATCATGAAAGTAGTACAAATTACTGTTCACACTTCAATCTACGTACAGAACTAGCATATAGTGATTGTATAGTAGTCACTCTCGGTATCGTTCAAATAATCTGCTACCAACCATAGCGTACAGATACATACCTCGTTGTCTTCCTTCTTTTGTCTGAGATGCTCCATACGCTCCTCTGCTTCACACTTTCGGAGATTCGCTGTCTGATCTACCTTGGCAATCTTCGATTGCATGTGTTGTATCTGCTTCTTTATGTGCCTCTCTTCCGCTAGGACGTCTTCGTTCTGAGTCACCTGTGGTATTAGAGAAACGCGTGTTGTTCAAACAATCAACTTACTATGGTGTGATCTGATTCATAAACTCATTATCTATAAAAGTCATCGACTGTACCTTTATATTAATTTCGTTCATGACCTTCTCCTTCATCACTGAGATGTTTTCGAGCTTCCTTTCCTCTGACTGGACCTCGGACATCAGATGCATAACCTGACCATGTACAATGATATCACATAGGAGGACAATGCAAATGAGAACCCTGCCAAAAGGTTTAGTACATCGACCCTGCAGAAATTCCGCACTGGAACATCTAGTACGGAGTATTACAAAGTTCCGGTTTTGCATCACATTTTGCGTCAACAAGGCGTATATAATGCCGAATGGACTCTGTACATTGTGCAATAGTGCACACCAAGTTCTGACAGTACACACTCACTCACCTTATTCAGCTCCTTGTCGGTGTCGATCAACTTAGCATGCTTAACGGATAATTCCCGGGCAGTTCGGTCTTGTTCAAATATGTTCTCTTTCTCTTTTTCCACCCGTTGCTGCGGGGATAGAAACGAGATATATGATTCTCCAAGCGACAAATAAAAGACAGCGAGAAATGACAATACATTCGAGAAAGAAAGGTTGCTTAATCCTATACCGCCTTCCGTAGAGAAACTACTAGTTTTCTTAGATGAGCTTAATGCTGCCACCAAGGACAGATAGCTACCACACCAGATAACGGTTAGCATACTGAGCTTCTCTATCACATACCTGTAGATTGATGATGTCTCGTTTCATTCTGTCGGGCGATTGCACCACTTTCGATTTGAGGGTGTCATTCTTCTTCCGCAGATCCACACACTGTGCCGTGAGCTCGGCTAATTCAAGAGTAAAGGTATTCGTCACCTCATCAATCTCTTTGATATCTGCCCGTTGTCGGGCCTGGAATTGGTGAAATTGCAGCAGATGTACGCTGTTAGTGCCCTCATATGGTCATGACTAGTCCTTAAATGTCCAGAAGCTTTTACAAAACAGCGCAGAATGTGCAAGCGTGTGCAACTCACATCGTCTCCGTATATACGTGTGTACACCTTCCATTACAAATTAAAGGCCCCAAAACAACCCACCTGCTTCATATTTAGTTTCTGCAACTCCTCATCGAGTCCGCTGATTTCGGTTCGCACAGCTTCCACATCGGGTTCTTCTTTGTCACGCGCTGCTCGTAACATACTCACCTCCAACTCCAGGGCCTTGAGCTGAGCCTCTGCTTCCTTTTGTGATTCTATATGGTCACAGAATAGAGGAGGGATTCACTATCTTCGTTGAATCACAATAAATACAGCAGGTCTAGGCTATCATCCTGGAAATTGTGCAAAGATATACAAATACAAATAGGGATATATGTATGTGTCATATGTGACGAAATGCATGCACACAAAAGGCTCTATAATTAACGTTTCAAATATGGCCGCGCGATGACTATTAGTATAAAACAGATTCAGCCCGTATGGCATCAAGCCAGTTTTTGACAGCTACATCTGAAACATATGATAGTTGTCAAGAGCCCGATGTCCATACCAGCGAGCACCTCGGTCTCTTGCAGCACACTCTCGTACTTCTGTAGCCGGCCATGCCTGAACACATAGAAGTTGTACACCGCCGAGAAGATCCGGCGGATTCGCTGGAACTCTGGCTGGGCTACATCTTTGAACGAAAAGTCCTTGATCCCACACACCTCCTGTAGTGGTTGGGTTGATAGGTGAGTTGTTGTAAATGATCATTGGAGCCATGTGCCGCATGCAGTGAATATGAGTATTGCTGTACTTTTATCGAAAAATCCTTCATTTTAACCAAAAAAAATACGATCTTGTGCAAGTAATCTATATACAAGACCCCACCGATCTGGTACGTTGTGAAAAACAACAAATAACACACCCCGTCTCTGGCATTCAGAAAGTTATATAACCACATACACCAAAACCCAGCCGCCGCTTCTACTAGCACACATACACACAGGTGACGCGCCAGTACATACACCGGATGATTTTTAAACCACATACCATGAACCGCACAAGAGCTTTGTAGAACACCAGCTGTGGTATAGCTTCTTCGTACAGATCGGGATGTGACAGACAGTCGCTCGCTCTGAGATCCGGTTGACAGTGGTCGATCTTGCGCACGCCCAGCAATTCTTCCACTAATGATTGGTACAGAGACATGAGCTCCTCCGGTTGAGGGTTCTTGAGATCCTGTACGATCAATAAAGCGAACCGGAACCGATCAAAATGGCTTTTAGTGGGAACGCTTTATTGTCAACCTAGCTTGTGCCATGGGATGGGCTTGGCACGGTAAACATTGTACCTTTCTGAGAAAAGATAATGATTGTACATAAACGCGGCTGTAGCGAAGGGTGAGATCGCCATTGTATTGTGTGTAGACGAAGCTGGAGTTTCGGATGAGTTGGAGGTTGAAAAGGACATTGTAACACTACAACACACATCGGCAGATAGAAAAGATGATCGTTATAGGTGCAGAGCTACACACTATAATTCCTCTTTGCGTAGACACTAGAACGTACGAATCTTCAGATCATCCGTCAACATTCGAATTTGAAACTCGTATAGTGATTGTATGCTAAACAATGTAATTGTGTACTATTTTTATACACATACGTATGTAAGATGTATGATTCGTGTTATGAACGCGCAATCTCACATCGCGGCAACACTTTACTGTTTTTTCGTATACAGGAACTAAATCTATTGGTATAAGGCCATACCAGCCTATCAGCAGTAAATGTGTAGCATTATTCTTGTCCCATTGGGCGTTGGTGTACTTCAAACGTTTGTCGCTATATAAAAGTGTATTTGCATACACGGAAATATCAACTCATGCACAACAGCAGAATGAATATACAAGTCTTGGGGTTAGTCCAGCAAATTAAGTCATATAGGCCCACTATAACACACACATATTTATGTATATATATATACATACCTGTTCCGACATAGGAAAGCCTATCTCATTCATACACTGTAGAAGTTTAGCAGTGCTAAACACTGGGGGTTGGAAGCTGGCCATTATGCCTACTGAAGTAGCGATCTGCTTGGGGCTCTATCAGTGTCAAATGCTATTGTCGTGAGGTCCTAACATATAATTACGATAAGAAGGTAAGGCAACTGATATCTTCGGCATGGATGCACAAGCAGCGGAGGGTATGCGGGTGTGATAGTTATCTCCAAATACGATCCGCTTGCAGCCTTGCACCCTATATACATATCTAAAACTACGCTATATAAATATATTGTATTTGTGTTAAAAATATATATCTATTTATTAGTATGGGGACTATTTATGTGAAGAACGAAATGTTTAATGTTGCCCTAATCCGCCCAGGGATGGGCTCTCTCATTTTGGCGGGCTTTTGGAGATATCAGATAACTGCTCAAAATGAGCAGCTGTTGAAAAAGCCGAACTAAACGTTATACGTTAAGCCGGTTATATCTCGAAAGAACAAAGTACACGTTTTAACGTTGTACTTTTATATATTTGAATTGAATATGAGTGAAGCTGAGAGCAGTTGCCGGTTTGCGACATCTATAAAAACGTTAAACCCCCTGTCCTGGAGAAAAAAAATCACGTTTACGTTCAACTTGTATTTTATATGCACGTACATATTACTACTTATGTGTATTTTAAATATTTAGTGTATATGTATTTAGAATATTACATACATTGCTAGATTGCTCAATTGAAATAATATCAGTTTGTACTACAAAGCTTTCTGTATACAACATATATATGCATCAATACATCGCAACGCACCACATGCGGACACGGAATTGCGATATTAATTAGACTAAATACAATGACGACGGAAACCCTCAGCCTTGGCGAGGCCTTCTCTGACCGTAAATTACTGCATGTATTGTGCGTGGATGTACAGAACGTTGACGAATTATTAGAGAAAAGCAAAGCCAGGGAAAATAACGAAGATGATCTCACCTTTCCGTATGCTCTCATAGACGCGCGGATAGTAGTCAGTCCGTTACAGGTATTGGTTGTGGGAAGTTGAAAGGTTCTATTGTAGTGCACAACCAGATGGTTCTTGAAAATAGTTTTCGACCCGTTTGTATATAAAATGAAGTTCTCGGTGTAATTATCTCTCTTTTGGTCCCGTTCATGCTACCGGAGTGTGTAGAAGTTGGAAATTTGAAATTTTCATGTGTGTGTAAATACATACCAACATAATAATAATAACGATATATATATATATATATATATATATATATATATATATATAGAGCATGTATACATATATATAAATATATATATATATATATACATAATATGTATATACATATATGTGTGTGTGTGTGTGTGTGTGTGTGTGTGTGTGTGTGTATGTATGTATGTATATATATATGTGCCTGTGTATGTATGTATGTATGTATGTATGTATATGTATGTATGTATGTATATATATATGTGTGTGTGTGTGTTTGTATGTATTTATATATGTATTTATGTATATATATATATATATATA